TTGATCGATCGGACGGTATGAAATGCGTAAGGGAGGAGAATCTGGGTTGGCCACACTAGGAAAGATCGGATGGCTCCTATTGATCCACGTGAGCTTGGATGAACCTCTCATTGAGGGGAGAGAGGTATTTAAACCTCTCATTCGACAGGCATCTGAAACCCTAACCACCAAGTCGACTGGAGAAGAAGAAGACAAGGACGCCGAAGGGACTCTGGCACTGTAGTGCCAAAAGCCAAAAATAACACCGGTAAGCTCAATTTTCTCCCAATTTTCTGATTTTTCCATTCTCAATCATTTTTTTACACCTTTAAAGCAGATTGATCCAAGAAAAGCCACAAACTGAGAGGGAGGAGACACGCAAGTCGGGCCAATTTCGATGAGTCGTCCACCCCCTCGGCTCCTTTTTCCTTCCATAGATACTGATAGCATGTTATTTTCTTCATTTAGAAAAGAAATGAGAGAAAATAAGAGGAAATAGGTAAAAGCCGAGGGTGGAAATCATTGCGCCGGTGGTTACGAGGAACAACATCGCCACTAGGCAATTTGGGGTAAGGGTGCCTAAACCCTCCCCTTCATAACAGCTAACCAAAGGCCAGACAAAAAAATAAATAAAAAAAATAAAAGGAATAATTAATAAAATAATAAAATAGTGGATATATATATATATATATTTATGTGTATACTTAATTGAACTCAATTCTAATCTGTGCTGTGTAATCCGATCTTCCAGGTTACCAATAGAGCGAACAAAATTTTAATTTATCATTATAGTTTATCCTGTCATCTTCTTAATTTATTGTACATATATCCTCTATTTGTTTATTTATTTTGCCTTGTTTTTATTTTCTGTATTTATTTATCATTCAATTTCTATCTCTATTCAGGTTATCAATCTGTCCTTATATTTGTTTTATATGTTCATTTGGAATCAATGTGTCGATCAAATATGTTAAATCGCTATATTTCAGTACTTATGTTTCATTTATCTTGCGAATAATTATTTCACTTCATATATTTTTTGTATTTTATTTTAATTGTTTTATTGTAACTTTTATTAGTGGTGTTGGTTCAATTCATGGAGCATGCATTCCACTTGCATCATTTTGGTTTAATTTTGATTTGGTCCTTGATGAGTAGTAAGGCACGATTTGTATGTTTCTCATTTTAGTGATACACAAGTTTTTACATGTCGTTAATATGTTGAATAGTGTAAAATAATTAAATGCACATCTAAACATGAATGTAAATCAAAGTCTTGCCAGTATCATATGAGAGAATGTACAGACTTGGTGCATATGGTGAACCCTACAGTAAACTTATTCTCAATCTAACGGGATTGGGAGGTCCCATATCAGACAAGGTTGGGAGTTAATTAATTACACTCATACCAGATTGGGTATTGAGACAGTTTTTTTATTGTGGCGCTCATTATCGGACTGAGTATGGGGACGGTTTATGATTTACAAAGGAAATATTTGTGTACTCACATGTAATGGGGATCCATATGGGCCCCCAATAATACTGGTAGTGAAAATAAGATAAAATGATGGAAATGAAAATGTAAATAACCCTAGTTTGGGTAAGATAGTAAAAATTAATCGTAGTTTACTATATTCCTGAACATATCTAAATATTTATGCATGAATATCGTTTAATAAGAAAGTAAGTGATAAATTATTTTCCATAAAAAAGAAGGGTGTGAATGCACCAATATGGTTTTTAATACAAAGTGAGTGCTCCATCGATTATTTTATAGCTTTCTACAATCTTTTGATTACTATGTTGGTGGTAAGATTTTTAACATTCTTATTGAGCTAGTATTGTTCACCTCCTTCTTATTGCCATTTTATATAAGAACGATTAAGACCCAAATCTAAAACAGTGAGAGAATAAATTAAAACATCATCTGTATCTGCTCCGTCGTAATTGAATTGAAGTTAATCATTATTATAATAGTACTCTTATTTTAAGTTCTAACATTTCAGTAGCCCCTATTTGGGTATTCTAAGTAAACGTGTTTTTTTTGCATAATGATAATTTCAGTATTACTAGATTAGTATGATCAGACTAAATGTTCGAAATTCCTAAAATGAGGTTTGGGCCTTTACAATACACGTTTCAACATAAACACCACACATTGTCGCATGTGCCACTACCAGAATCATCACGTGTCGTCGCACGTGAAATTGTATCTTCATAAAGATTTGGTTGAAAGAATGCCACAGATCTAGCCCTCTTATGCCATGCACGAATATGGTTTTCTTTCTGCCGCACGATCCATCTTCTTATTTTTTTGGCTAATGGCTCATGATTGCACGTGACATGTTGCACGATCTTTCTCTGATTTTAGTTGCACATGGTTTTTTTCCTTTAATTGTGCGCAAAGCCTTCTTCCGTTGCATGCGAACCTAAAAAGACTACGTGCATTTTAGTAGCCTATTGGGTACACCTGGGCCACCGTGCGCCACATCGTTTGCTTTATTTCCCTTTCTTCTCTCTTCCTTCTTTCTTCTGGCTGCTCGACCTCCTTCTCTCTCCAGGAAATCCGATTTAGGGTTCTTATGTATAGGCCTCACCTCAGCTGTCTGATCTCATCTCAATTGATATGGATCGTTCATCACACTTTTTATCTCGATTGTTGATTTATGCAGGAATTGCTCTTAATCGTCCGAAATGGCCCACATTATAGGGTCGTTAGATCAACATTTATGTGGTAAAATCCTGGTTGTTCCTCTTTGTATACCACCACTTATAAAGCTACAGGTGTTATAAATGTGAATACTATTTTAAATTGAGACTCGATACTAATTTAAATTTGTAAAAAAATTACTGAATAAATATCTCCCAATGTTTGATTAAAAAAATGTATGAGTGTTGCTTATCCTTTTAAAAAATATTAGGGTGAAAATATTTTTAAATTTCTGCTTTGAAATTGTATTATTTTTAAAATAAAATAATTAACTTTACAAAATAAACATGTACGTATACGTATATGTGTGTCAGCATATGTATATGTCATGTTTGCATCAGCGCGACTGAATCTAAACAAAGCATAATGGATATCCTTAATGTATGTGGATAAACGATTACCCTATTTAGTTGATTTTAGTTTGTAAAAGAAGGAAAAAAAACAATTTGTTGACTAAGCAAATTTAATTGGATTCCCATTTGCAAGATACTATATATATATATATACATATATATTTGTGATAGGTTAGTTAATTAAGTCAAACGAATTGGCACCTAGTTGGCCCACTATCTACCTGCTACAATTTATAATTATCTATATATAAATGCTAGGTTTCATAATTTTGATAATCTCATTTCATTTTAACATGATTTAAAATAATATAATACATAAGTATATATAATCATAAAAGTACTATACTGTAACTTTTTCACACGAGTCAGTTACCGTATCAATTTCTACATAAAATTCTATAATTTTGTATATTTAATGTTGTTTTATTCATTTTTATTTCTTTTAATTTTTTTAAAGGAAAAATTAATGTTTGGTATGTTGAAGATTATATGTATTGTTATAATTGGTATTTATATGTCATTTAATTAATAAAAAAATATATTATTTATTAAAAAAACTCATTGTAGGGGATGCATTATCCAAAGATATATGTAATTATATATATGGAGTGATACAGTTTTAAAATTTTAAATATAAATTTTAATAAAAATAAAAATTATTTTTAAAAGATATATATATATCATAATTTTATAAAATAAATAATAACTCTGGCTATTACAAAAAAAAATCCATAGTATATTTTATTCCTTTAATTACAGAAATAATTTTAAGACAAAAAAATTGTGGTAAAAAATTCGGGCTGATTGTATTATATGTTGTACTGTCATTAAATTAATTATTAATTACTTCACTATATGAGGGGTAAATTTGTCATTTAAAAATCCAACTGATTGTCCAAATCAAACGGCGCCAGTACATGCCTGTACGCCATTTGACCTATTTTTTTGGGGGTGGGGAGGTGGGGGGA